AGACAGGATTGGGCTTGTTCACAGTGGCATGGCCGTAGACTATATATACATTTTTAGAGTAATTTTTTTTCTGCTTTGATCTTTTTTTTTTTTACCTATTGGGTTGTCGGTCTTTTTCTTACTGATTTCTAGGTTTTTGTATATTAAAGAAATGAGTTCTTTGTCTCTGATATGAATTGCACTTTTTGTTGTATATAATTTGTCTTATGATTTTACTATGGTGCTTTCTGTTTTTGTCCCCATTCTAAAATTCCCAGTAAGGGGCTAATTGGGTAACAACACCCACACTTGGTTAATTAACTGTGGCCAGGAAAGCGGAGTCACTTTTTTATACCCTGGAGTCCAATGGAATGGGGGCCAGTAAAACTATAGGAGAAATTACGAGTCAGGAGTTACTCTAAAAGGGGTTTATAACATTTCAATGAATAGAGAACATTTTCTAGTCACTGGGGATGTATCTCCTTGTATAGGAGAAAGAGCTTACAGTTTTAGTGAAGATACAGACAAACATAAATAGTCATCATTGCAAATGAGTAAAGGAGGTGTGTATATACAAATTGCTGTGAGCATACAGGAAGAAGGTGTTCGTTATGTTTGGGGCATCTGGGAAAACTTTATAGGAGAAAGGGCATTTGAGCTGGGTTTGTAAAGATATAGTAAGTGAAAATGAATGACTAGGTTGGCCAATGGCTGAACATCATTGGAAGAAGGATGTATTAGAAAGTGTGATTGTCACAAATGGAAGAGTAATGTGACAGGCAAGGTTACAGGATATGTTTCCTTACTGGCAAATGACATGAAACCTTACGGTTATATGAAGTTAGAGCTACCACAATATGCTTCTGTATTGAAGTATGACTTCCTGTAAAAATTCCTCACAAAGACACAACTATAGTTGCTATCATACTCACAGAAGGATTATTCTAGGCACGAGGAAGCTATCCTTGCCATTCTACAGTTCTAGTTCTCTTAGGTTTTTGTTGTAGTGTGGTTTTGATTTTAATTCTCTTTTTGGCAGTCCCATCTTTGCCCTTCCCTGTCAAGTTTGGGGACTGCCTCATGCCTGCCCACTCACTTATGAAGAAATTGGGTAAAACAAAGATAAGTTTCTCAAGAGCATCTCTCAGTGGATCTAGGTCTGAGTTCCAATTGAAGTCCATTTCTGTAGGAGGAGTGGTGGGATTTGAGAGCATGGGTTGAGGGGATTTGGATTTTATCCTCGAACATACAGATGAGTGTTTCCTCCCAAAGTCATATAAAATCATATGTTCTGAGATACTCACCATAAATAAAGCATTTTTTGTCAAGTAAGTTTGGAAATAATTAATGCTATATCCCTCTCTTATGGGTTCATAATGCACATTGTCTCAGAATTGATTCAAGGAAAAGCAGAGTGCAATGAGAAGCCCTTCAGTTTAAATGTATTATTTATCCCTCATTTATGGATTTCCTCATATAAATATTCATTATAATTTTGAGAAAAACTAATATAAATAGTGGGGAGCTGTGTAAAGTTTCTGAGAGACAGATTTGGTT